AGGTGGGTGAGGGAATATCTTTTACTGGATCAACTTCAATTGGTGACAGACAAGCTTTTGAGCTACACAGAACTCTGTGTATACTCACAAGCTTGTCTCAAAACTGCTGAACTATCCTGTTTCGACATTTTCCAAATGAAAAGGTTTTTTTGCTTCAAAAATGATTTTTGTCTCTAAATGAAAGTTATAGAAAAAAAAGTAAGAAAAAAATGAAAAAAAGTGTTAAAATCTAAACAAAGTTTTTTGAAAAGATCAAAACGAAGCATTTCAATTGGCCCAATCTGAATTTTTTTTTCCCCTTCAGATTTTTGGTTCCTTTTTTGGGAGGGGAGGGAGGGGGGGGAGGGAAGAAGAGAAGGCTGATTTGGGATAGGAAAATTGTTTCCCACCCAGCTCTAAGGCTCAGTACTGTTGAAAGTCCTACCCTTATTATTATATATAATACCTTATCAAAACAAACATTCATTTAAATACTTCAATAGTAGCCTAAACATTTGCGAGCCTTCACAAGCCCACAACATACTTGGGCCATTAGGTGTCTGGCCCAGCTGCTCACACTGTTTCTACAGCAGTGGATATTATTTGTCAGACTACCAAGCGAATGTGTAGAGACCGGTCTATTTCTATATTAAGACAATGCTTCTATAGCTCTAAAACTAGGGAGCAGTGACTCAGTTACTTGAAAGTGCTCAGTTCTGTTTAGTGGTACACCGCTACCTCGATATAACGTGACCCAATATAACACAAATTCAGATATAACGCGATAAAGCAGTGCTCCAGGGGGGCGGGGCTGCGCACTCCGGTGGATCAAAGCATGTTCAATATAACGCGGTTTCACCTATAACGTGGTAAGATTTTTTGGCTCCCGAAGACAGCGTTATATCGAGGTAGAGGTGTATCTGGTAAACATGTCAAATAATTAAATTAAAACAAAAAACAAAGTGATTCTATAATAAACATAAGCCACCTTTGTGATTTCAAGTACATTGTACCACTGATCATCGATAAATTCAAAAGTCAGAGCTATACCTACTAAGACTTCTACTCCCCCCAATACAGAAGTTAAACTCTGCCTATGTTTGTATAGTCTATTCAGAATTATTTGTTGGAATGCAAGCTAAATTGAAAGGATTATAAAGTGAAATATGAAAGCAAGGGTCAGTGGCTAGTGCTGGAAGAATAGATTGAAGAAATGAGTCTTGAGAGAGATAGGAAGGAGGCAGCACATGCAATCACACTATCTAGGATAAAAATTGAAAAGGCCGTAAGTCCTCATGCTTACAAGCTACAACACTTCAGAACTCAGCAGTTGTAGTTAGGAAGAAGTGTCCCTCAAGCTACCAGTTAGGTTCAGTGCCTGCATATGTTAGATGAAGGGAGTTAAATTAAAATCTCCCTTGATTTTTGGCAATTATAAGATACCAGACAGCACAGATGATTGATAAGTTCTGATGTGGCTGTTCTTATGTTTGTATATACATATGTGAAGATACTATAAAAGAAAACCATGCGACTTCTCACGCTGCAATATGTCAGACTTACATAAAGAGGAATAGAAAGATATTTCCGCTTTAATCATGGTATAAGTGATTACACTACAACTTTAGCCCTCATTTATACCAGAATAAATCCTGGAGTAAATCCTGTGATTGCAATACACTTGTTCAGAATATGCACTAATTCAAATGAGAGCAAAATATGGATCTATACGTTCAATATAAGCAATTCTTTAAAACACATGATTAAGTACCCACTTTATGAATGAAACTACTGCACCAATTTTACAAGGGGAAATTTGCCTGTATCCAGTCCCTAGCAATATAACTGGTTCCAAATCCATGAAGGAACATTCCAAAAGCAATGCAGAGATGTAGAGCTTCTTAACAGGTCTTAGGGATGGGGGGGATCCTTAATAGATCAAGTAGGAAATGTGAAGGTGTCCGATCTCGTTATATATCTTGCAGGTTTTGACCATTATTATTCCACGCTAATAAGATGAGCCACAACTGGTATCTAATGAGTGGGAGTTTAGCTTTTACATGAAACAGGATGATTTTCCAAGTTGTGAGTAAGCAACTAAACTTGAGTCTGCAGTGCTGCAAAGAAAAAACTCAAAGGCTTGTCCAAGAAAACAGATTATACTTA